AATAGGATTGCCATCTAAAATCGTTAAGAAATAAAAGTAGTGACATAGAGTCTTTAACCCCTTAAGGACCAAACTTCTGGAATAAAAGGGAATCATGACATGTCAGACATGTCATGTGTCCTTAAGGGGTTAAGATAAGAACACATGATTTTTACAGAAGGTTGGAGAAGTATGTCTATATACACTGATAAATTACATAAAAGAGAATTAATCCCAGATACAATGGGACGGCCTGGAGGGTTATTCATGTTTTTGTGTATCTTAGACAGAAAATATATGACTGGGATTTTAGGATATTGTATATTTAGATAGTTAAATTCTTGTTTAGTTAAGATGCCAGTGTCTAGGCCTTTCCGTAAAAGAGTAGATAAAGTGCATTGAATATTAGGAGTGGGGTGAGAGAGTTGTTTTTCATAAACTTCATTATCTTTTAACTGTCTGTGTGCTTCTCTGTACATGTTACTTGATAAAATGACAATCCCTCCTCCTTTGTCAGCAGGTTTAATGACTATGTCTTTATCATCTTGAAGTAGTTTTAATGCATTTCGTTCAGCAGAGGTCAGATTGTGTGTGTTATATTTGTAGTTGTTAATTTTTTTCAAAGTATTTTAATACAAGTTTCTCAAGCATTATCAAGGGTGCAGATTTACAATAGGAGGGATAGAATTTAGATTTTTCTTTTAGACCAGTGTTTATAAATTGATGATTTGAAGGTTTGAATGGGTTAGTTGGAGCAAAGTTCATGCTTTATTGAGGACAGATATTTGGTTGGCAGATAGTATTTTGTTTAATAGGTTGAAGATACCACAGTTTTCTTCTTTGGGAGTGTTTATTGCCTTTCTAACCTCTCTCTCTTGTGTTCGTCTGCCGCTGCGTTTACTTCTGGACTTAAAGTTCTTTTTCTTGGTCGTAGTCGGTAGGATGTTTGAGCTAGCGAATTGGGATGGGTACGAATTTCTAAAAAATGATCTTCTATCTAGTCTATTGATAGAAGTTGGAATCTGTTAGATTTAACATAGTTGGAGTATTGATTTTGGTTGTTGGTGTAGTGGGACCTTTGGGGCTTGGGTGAATTGTGACTTTGGCCCAGTACATTGTAGTAGTTAGGTGTTCGGGATAGTTTGTATGATGGTTTGCGGTATTTGTTTGAGGGTGGGTAGTGTTGGGGTCGATGGTAATTGGAGAATTTATTTATTCCTTGGGGGGGTGGATTGATTTTGTTTAGATGGTATGTTCTTACTTGTTTAATAGCATAGTCATGTTTATCCCTTATGTTCTTTTTTATTTTTAGATGTTTTGTATCCATCTCTATTTTTTACAATTTGCTTTGGATAAGGATGGAGTTTTGTTTATACCCATTAGTCTCCATAAATGGCATAAGTTTGCCTTTGAGATCATTCATTTCTACTCAAGGTGTTAAAGCCACAGGCAGTTTTAATGAAACAAAAAAGAGCAGCAACCATTGTTCCATTAAAACTGCCATGCATGCGCTGAATTTCTTGTGTTGCCTTATTGTTGTGGGATTGCTGGTCCTGCTCCAGAGCACCGGGTGGCTACTGGGATTGAGTGCCATCATTCCTACCATCACTTTTGCAAGGTATGAGCTAAGGTCAAAAACCACAGAAAACACTACATTGAACAATAGGTGATGTAGAAGGATCCCATATTTAAATAAGCCAAATGAAACGAATCAAAAGAAAAACTTTGGAATCCTAGGATTATCCTTGTGCCATCTTGGTTAAAACTCTCTCAGCCACAGGAAACACTGGATTGAAAGCAGTAATAATTTACTATGGCTCAGGCATCATCTGGCAACCTAGGTCCACTCCACAAGGTGAGGGTAACATACCTGACACTAATAACAATGAATAAGCCTGACACTAATAACAATGAATAAGCTCAAATATAATGTGTCTTTAGTTAAATTAGGTTGTAATCACCTTCTGAGTTTGTTTAAGTCTATGACTCACTAGACAGTATCCCACAGTCCATATTAAGTTCTTTTGTGTATAAATAAGCACCCAGATAAGGACAGACGACATTTACTCTGGATGCAAGCACAATGAAATAGCACAATTTTACAATGATTCCAACCCACCACAACTGGACCATTTTCAGTCATTCCTTCCCAGCACAAATCTAACCATTTCCTTTCATTTTCTACATTTATTTTTATTATCATTATTATTATTATTATATGAAACCTGGGACAGCAGGATATATGGAATGTTTCAACTCAGGGACTGCATTTTTAAGCCCAGGCAGTTTAAGTCAATATCGAATAAGCACATCATGTTCAGCACTACACAAAGAATACAGACTTTTAAACATTTCAGGTTAATATTGTAAATTGTAATTTGAACTAAAGCTAAATTTCTTTACAAATCTATTATAAAAGTATAGTGCTCTGTTTTAAAGCTGCTTTTCAAAGTTTGCCATGTAGTTATGCATCTACAGTAATTTTCATTATCTCTTACAACCATGCATAGTCAACATAGGACCTTTTATCATGCTTATTGTACACATGATTTAATCATTGAATCACGAGTATCATCTTATGGTAAAACTGGTAAGAATTAATTAATGTTATTTCCAAGGGAAGAACATATTTGCTAAAAGCAGTAGAAAAAAATATTCTCCTTCGATCTGAATGTATTAGGAGAAACATGCTTATCTATTTTAATTAAATAGCCTTTTCCTCAGAGGAGTCAATAGGAGATCTGTTTTTTTTGGGGGGGGTTTATTACAAAAAGTTGAGATTATCTCTGGTAATAGAGAGAAAAAAAGATGCTTCAAATGCTCTTTTATATGCAGTATCCAGGATCAGTAAAAAAACTAATTACACCTATCAAGATGGGAAATACATACAAAAATTTTTATTAAAGTGTGAATTTAACATGAATTCAAAGTAAATTTAAAATTAAAGTTCAGAGTAGCTGAAATAAAAAATGTCTCACTTATAACTTTTTCCAGTTCAATTACTTTGAACTTAAATTTTAAATTCACTTTGAATTATTACTTTTAAAAAAAACCTGACTTTTTGACAGCAAACAAATCAACATATCCTATATTAAAAAATATATATATATGTGTAGTATATGTTTAACCAGTAAGCCTATCTATAAGCATGGTATGTTAATTTGTATGGAAGTTATAAAGGCAATTTGCAAAGAAACCAAAAAGAAAACCATGAAAAATATAATATATATATATATATATATATATATATATATATATATATATATATATATATATATATCCGTATTAAGTGACATAGTGGAGTTATCAAGACAAACGTAGGTGCTATTCTTGGGCAAAGTGCTACATAAAAGCTATAAAAAAAAACTATTCAACATTTTGTACTTTATACCAAAATAGCTAATTTTTTGCATTGATAAATAAGTCCTTATATCTAATTTTTTGTCTTAAAATAAAAGGAAAAAAATACACATTTGCTTGCTCTGTCTAATGAGATTAGATCTAGAATCATATAGCTCAATTAAATGAGCTAGTTCCAAGTAGTCTATTGTATTTAATTGTATATTAAGGTAAAATGTGTTAATGTGCTTGTTTGGCATATCACACGTGCAGCTTAATTCAAAGCATTTACAAAGCATTTATATGGCAATAGAAATATTTTATTTGAAAACATTTTATGTGAAATCGTAACTGATTTGGTAAACAAATCTATACAACGTGCAAAAATTTTTTTTTTTATATTTTTTAACTTACTTTGTAATTTATTGCATTGCACTTAGTAAAATGGAGGTGAAAGCATATCATTTCCTTTATGTAACTGAATTAAACATAACATTAACTAAAACTGAAAGACAGTATATTATTATGCAGGGTCAAGTAAGCTGGATAAATATATGCCCTTGTACCTTGTAGTTGACAGATTATCTTTCTCCTTGAAAACAAATTAGCTGATCTAAGGACTTTAATTAAAAGTTTTACCTCTATTGCTCTACTGATTAAACTGTGATATTTTATAAATGTTTGTTTGCCTGGAAGTTATTTGAAATAATCACAATTCCTTTACCATTTTCAATAATGTTAAATTATTCAAAGATTTATTGAATTATAAAAGTGAATGTAGCTGACAGAAAATACTCCTTGTATGAAGTTCTGATTTATTTTTCCAACAGTGTTATTAAAAAAATTGAGTTTTACCAAGTCAGTTTCTTAAATAGAAATAGTCACTTCTCTGGATATTATAACCATTGAATAAAACACCTGAAAATTACCTAGAACTTATGTTACATTTTTTCATGTTATATTTTCCTAATACATATATATCAACATATTAACTATTGTCTTCACAATCCAGTTAAGCCCTGACATTCCCAGGACAAACAATATATTCAAAAAGGATACAAAACATTCTAGGCTATTTAGGACTGAGAACTTCAAAGAGAATTTGACATTTAAAAGGGTACTATAGGATGTAGGCACTAAAATAGACAGAATGCTCTCCCCAGCTGTTCCCACCTTCTATAACATCCGATCCAGTACCAGCACTTTATTTTATCTACCTCAATACAAAAAAAAGCAGCCCGATCCTCCTTTTCCTACAGAGCACAGCAATTCTGGAACGACCTCATGCACACTTTCAAATTTTACCCAAGCCTAAAGTCCTTTAAGAGATCCCTCTCTAGATATCTCAAAACAGAATGCACGTGTCATGGTTGATTATATATTTCCTACCTGTTCTATGTTCAATTTTGTATAGATTGTGTATTAATGTTGCTTTTGTATTTAATTGTACCCTATTGTATCAGTGCAATGTTTTGTGGACCAATGTATCTCAATGTATCTTTCCTGGTAAAATATTTTATAAATAAAATAAATATAAATAAAAATCATTTTAGCTTAAAGGACCACTATAGTGCCAGGAAAACATACTCATTTTCCTGGCACTATAGTGCCCTGAGGGTAGCAGAAAGATTATATGAGATTTATTATCCAGCCACCCATTCTTTAACTTATTACCACTTTAGCCTGGCCCTCCTCCTTTCAAGAATACACTACCCCACATCAGTAGTTATAGTATTCTTGGACGCATAAAATTCCACTCCATTCTCTTGACTGACCTCCATGATAAACTAGGGGATCCTAGTTTAGGTCAAGATGAAATTACGAATGTCTTCTCTATTAATCCACTATCTATGAATGATGTGATTAGTAACAATATTAATACTGCATTCTTTGGGATCCAGAAAACCTATCCGGAACAAATAAGACGTTTCTGGGAACTCACCAGCCTTAAGCAATATTTACAGCAAAAATTGGTTCCCAAGGTGTTGCGTCCAGACATTTTACTACCAGATAAAATCCAGACCGAGGAACAGCTCAGTGAATGGAACACTATTTTACTGAACTGTACCTTTCGGTTAATGGATTTTCTGGTGAAACTGGAATCCACAAATTTTGATGAAACAAACAAAAAAATAGCAAAATGAAATTACTCTAATTAAGAACTACAAGTCTGATAATCTGTACGTCCCTATGGAAAACAAGTTACACAAATACATCAATAACTTTAGACACCACTTAAAGGTTAAAAAACATAATAAGTTCCAAAGGGATTCCAAAGACTTTAACCCCTTAAGGACACATGACATGTGTGACATGTCATGATTCCCTTTTATTCCAGAAGTTTGGACCTTAAGGGGTTAAAGACGGGAAAATCTTCAGACAAACCAGAAAATACCCAAGATGCCAGAATAACTGTAGAGGCTCCTCCTCCGGTGAAACTGACTGGTCAGACCAGGACCAGCTGCCATGACCGAGATGCAGATCCCCACCAAAACATAGCACTGATCGGAAAAGAGACCAGAGCTCTCAATTACACTATAACAAGAGCATTCTCAAAAATAAAGACAAAGCAGTTTGTTCCTGGACATACCCATCCCCGTGGATACAAATAACCCCTTGATTCTACCTACTATTTCATCCAACACTTTATAGAACAGGAACCTCCCGCCAACAACGGGGCGACTGAGGGACAGAGATCGGTGGGCGTACAAAACACAGGGGTGAACTCAGAGGACTTAGTCTCTAACAGAATAATTAATCTGTTTGACTTCCCACTTCAAACCCACCACATCACCCTCCTAAGTAGAGGACTGTCTTTTATACCCACCCCCACCTGTAACAAATTTCATTTGTCCATCCCCTTGTACAGACACTATTTTCTTACCTACAGGATACAAAAGCAACCCTACTGGCACTACAGGATATGTCAGTTCCACCATACACACTGTTGGCCAGTCTAGACGTAGTCGCCCTTTAGTTGAAAATAAATGAATGTAAGTGTGCAAAAATAGGGGCCTTAGAAAACAATTTGATATATTGAATTATTTTAGCAGCTATTACATAAATATAGGGACTCTCTCCCCTATAGAGTTGTACATAAAAGAGATGCACACAGAAGTGAAGAGTGTATATATCCCACCACTGGTGTATAAATGGAGCGCTTAAGATTTTAAACTTAGCCCTATGGGTTAACACAATTTTCAATTTTAAACAATATTTTTCAATATGTAAATCTGTAATAATACAGCTAACATAGTGCAATATTGTAGTGACACAGAATTTAAAAGTGATTAGGATTGTATAGAATCACAATGGTCTCACTTACATGGGACAGAGCCTCTTTGGATGGGCTCAAATCACTTGGGTGTATGTGTACTCTAGTGATACCAAACCCTTGAATTCTTCCTTATTCACAAATACCTCATAGGTAAAGGAGAGAAGAGGGCAGGGAAATAGGGGAAGCAGTACAGCTTCTAGTGTAGTTACTCCCACATATAACAAGAGTATACTATGACTTCTGGCTCCTGGTGTGTAAGTATATGTGCCTTTAAGGGGGCAACTGCCCTTCTTTTGAAGTAAGGTAGAAGGTGGTCGACTTGTATCTTGTTTAAAATAAATTTATTGAACATATAAAAACTCAGCATGCAAATAAAATGTTCTAAAAAATGTTAATAACAAACAAATAAGTCTTCCTCCTGATTTACACTAATATCCCCCATGAGATGGGGTTAAGGCTTTTAGATACGTTCTGGATCACACCTCGTATGATGATCTACAAACAAATTTCATTGTAGCCACCCTTGATTTCATATTGACCCATAACTATTTTACCTTTAATGGCCTCTACTATTTACAGGTCTCCAGCACCGCCATGGGACGGCTTGTGCGTCCACCTATGCCAATCTGTTTCTGGGGTGGTGGGAGCAACATGTCGTCACAACAACAAAATTTTGCCGCTTTCATGGATATATTCTGATCTGGCACAGATATATTGATGATATGTTGCTCCTATGGACAGGTGCGGTCCCCATTTTTGACAAATTTGTCATGGCCCTCAATGACAATGACATCAATTTAAATTAACTCACGTGATTGACGAACACAAACTCGTATTCTTAGACCTAAAAATCCTGTTAAGACAACATGGTACTATCCAAATGGAATTATTTAGAAAATCCACTTCCACAAACAGTCTCCTTCATTGGGGAAGTCATCATCCCCATAAACTGAAAGCTTCCATCCCATTCAGCCAATACTTGAGGGTAAGACTAAACTGTTCAGAAGACCATACCTTTAACAAAGAATGTCAACGTCTAAGATCATGTTTTAATGAATTAGGGTACCCCAATCGTGTCCTTAAACAGGCTTTTCACCGTGTCTGTGGCATAGACAGGCATACCAGCCTGCAAACCACAAGATCCAAACTGGACTCAAAGATCCCAAGATGTATTGCCACCTATGATCAAGGCTGGGCCTCCATGTCTCATATCCTCAAGAGAAACTGGCCAGTACTATTACACAACCAATTACTTTAAAATGTTCTACCTGACTATCCACCTTTGACAGCACGCAGACTAACTAACTTACAGGATTTACCTGTCCACAGTCATCTTGCATTCCCTTCTCCACCCACTAATTGGTTATCAAGTACAAAAGGGACGTACAGATGTGGACACTGTAAGGCATGCCAGTACATTATTCCTTCCAAGTCTGTCACATCTACTCAAACCAAAATGAGCGTTGACACTAACGCCTTGGTCAATTGCAGCACCACACGTGTGATATATCTAATTACCTGTAGCTGTGGAATACAGTACATCGGAAAAACATTTCAACAATTCTGATGCAGAATATTACAACATGTGACATCCATTAATAATATCATCACCCCCCACACAGGTAGCTAGACATGTCATCAACTTTATGAGGGTAAACCTGACAATTTGAAATTCCAGGCTATAGAAAAACTATTGCTCAACGCAAAAAAGGGTAACTTTAATAAAAAGAATCACATTGGATTTATTCATTTAAAACTTTGGCCCCTTTGGGACTAAACGAAGAATTCAACTACACGTCATTTATACATTGCTAATCGTCACTTTATTAAGTTATTATTCATATTTCAGCAGATATTTTTTCCTTTTTAAATTAATTTGACAATATGGACACTACTTTTAAACCACTTACTTACTACCTGTAGCCCTGTTTCCCCCTTTTCCCTTTCTCTCAATTTGCGAGGGTATGACTCCATTTAATATGCCGGCCTGAGGCATCTCTGCACTACATTAATGTGCCCTGGGTATGGTATTTTAAACACACAATATAATAGGGATACTGGTGAACTGCAATCCAGGATATTACAATTAACAACCATCAGAATTAGAGACATGATTACTATCTTGTCATCATAACTTGGGATATTCTCCTGAGGTCACTGCTAATCTTATCATAATTATATCAGTTCACCTCTTTCCCTATTTAAGGATTAAGTACTGAATAAGAGATTGCAGTTAACTCTCCTATATAATTAATATTATCACAATCAACTTTACATCTTCTTATCCTGGATGCTGAAGTTATGCTCCACTATATTCAGACATCATAGAAATCAATCAATAACTTCCCACTGTTACTTTCCCTTTATAATTGCGATTTTGCCAATTCCTTTTTGACCCTCCAGAGCTACCTTACCCTTCAAATCTACATACCTATGCCTGATCCAATCAGAAGCAGGGGCGGGTTATTTAAAACTAGTTCCACCGGGGAGTCAGTTCCCCCTGATGAGCCGCAGTCTGGCGAAACTCGCGTCGGAGCTCTACACACACTGCCGTCTCCAGTGATGTCTCTATGCTTGACTTAGCACTTACCAAGATACCAAGGTACTTTGACTGTTAGCCGTCATCTCAGGCGCCACAGGAACGGCATACAGATCAATGAATTGTTCTAGATAAGCCAGCAAGATTTTTTGCATTCTATAGACCAGGGTCCCATGAAGGCACAGACCAGGGTATTCTTAGACTGCATATCTTACAGGGGCTCTGCAGACACTAGACAGTGTAGCTAGACCCTCTCTCTGATAGGTGCCCATGAAGGCACAGACTAGCTTGCTCATTTTCTCTTACTGAGACTTTATCACCTACTATTCAGACTCGTCTGTTGAGTTATTAAAGATAGATATCTGGCTTGTTTATAGGGATAACTACCTGACTGCTGATCACAGCCTTGTGTATCTTTTTCCCTTTTAGCCAGATAATAGGCAGACTAATGTATTTTACTCTAAGCTATCATTCTACTCAATATGATATTGAGCGACCCCCTATTATAGGGATCTACTCAGTTTTAGAAGGTATATTCTTTTGAGATAGAGTTATATCACAGATCTGTCGCTTAGAGTCTGTAGTATTGTATTTGATCACGTCTGGGTGGGTGATTTAAATAACTGCATTACTCAGTAAATTGCTATCTTAGATTCTGACATTGATACATTTGAATTGTATCATTGATACACTCTCTTTATCACATGGTAAGGACTTAATTACTGTGTATCCTTTATTTAGGTACACAGCTTCTTGCAGCTTGTCTACTGGGGTGTATTTCTAAACCCTGGAGTTTTATCTCCACACAGCCTATATCTGTTAGTTTATGCGTTATTCACTCACTCCCCTATCCTATTGTATATTATCCCCACTTTTGTCCACCTAGTCCATTTAGTGCACACTACCACACTACACTACCCCGTGGCGGACTAAAGGGGGGGCAGAGGGGGCAGTCCTCCCCAGGTGCCACCAGGTGGGGGGGTGCCATAACCCAGGTCTGAGAGCTAAAGGGGACGTGTGAGCTGTGCCCCATGGTGGCTGGGGTGTCGAACAGCTCACAGGCAGAGACAAGCAAGTTGAAGTGGCCGCACGGAAGTTTGGGGGCGGAGCTATGGCCATTTGGGGGGCGGAGACCATCTGAAAGCGGAGCCGGGCTTATCAGGGCCCTTACCCGCTGCTGTTACTGCTGCACAAGGAGGTGCAGCAAGAAGAAATCCCTGCTCCTCCACCTAACAGGCTCCAGCCAGGGAAGGACTTCAAGGAATCCAGCCCTC